ACACCTTGTTATATAAGAAAATAATTTCACACAGAAATGGTACTTATGTAAAAGTTTCAGAAATGAAATGTTGCACCAGCTAAGGTTAAATATATAATTGATTTAGGTGTCTTCTGTACAACTATGTTAACTGAAAATCATATTTTAAAACTTTTATTGTTCCTAGAGTGAATTACTGGAATTTAAACGACAGCAACAGGAGGAAGGAAGAACCAAAACCCACCAGGCTGAACACAGGAGGTAGTAATGGCTAATAAAATAAGCATCCTTGGTTAAAACAATTACTTATAAAGTTTTTGAAATGTTTTAGGAAAACCCTGTTGTAATATTGAGTGTGGTTTTAGAATCTATATTACCTTTTAAAAAAAATTATTAAAGTGTAGTTGATTTACAATGTTGGTTTCAGGTGTATAGCAAAGTGATTCAGTTATACCTTTTTACCTTTTTAATCTTTATATTACTGAGATGTTGTGTGAGGATGCCAACTACTACTCACACGTGCACACACACACGTACATACATACACAATACCCCATTTTTCTGAATTGGCATAAATTCACACTAGAAAGTGGAATCAGCTCTCAAGCTGTGTGTTTATTTAGATTATACTTAATTTGCCTCCCTTGGGACAAAGGATATTAATCCTTTGGGATGATGCTTTACATTTTGTAAACTATTTTAGAATAATTGAACTAGTATAGACAGTGAGATACTCGTACTTGAATATAAAAGCTCAGAGAAGAACCACCATTAACGTTGTTTTATGTTGACTAACATATTAGGAAAGAGGATCTTAAAATAGATCCAGTAAGTAATTTTTCATAGTGTAAATAGTCTCAATCGTCTTTCTAACGTCGGGCATTGAGGGTACCCAGAATGTCATGTTGATGTTGGGCCAATGCTAATAATCACCATATCTATCATTATTTTAAGATTTTCCTGGGTAGCCTGTGGGCTGTTTGAGTTTATTGCAGTGATTGTCTCAGGAGAAGAATTTAATTTGAAGACTTTCATGATTTAAAGGAGCAAATCCTTTTGAAACTGAGTGGTTTCATTTATGTTCACACTTCCCACTATCACTGATGTGTATTCTTAAATGGCGGTGGTTTCATTTTGTGAATGAGACTTTAAAAAGGGTTCATGGAAACTTCTGATTCTGATGCAGTTGCCAACTGTGGAAGGGTACTTATATTCTTTTGACTGCATTATACTGCTTCCACAATCCAGACAAAAATAGTTAAAAAATACCCAGTGTGAATTTATGTGTTCTTCTCTGATTATAAGAAAACAATGGAACTTCGATACGCTGGTACGGCTATTTTGTTGGGTAAGGGGGAATTGTAAGTGTTACCTATTTTTTTTTTATAGAGTAGGTTGGAGATCCATTTAGTCTTTTATTTTTTTCTCATTTTCTCTTTAAAAGCCCTTCTATTAAAAACCTTATATGTATTTCTATAACGCTGGTTAATAGTAGCCAGTTACTTCTCTGGATTTCTGAGGATTAATTGGATTATAAAGCTTTAAGCATTTTTAAAGACAGTGATATGTCACATTAATAGGCCTCTTTGCTAAGAAATTATCTTCAATGGGCACCCAATAAAAATGTGTTATTTGATTAGAGGTGGAAAAGATTATATTTTAATTATAGAAACCTTGACCTTCCTTCTTTATTTCCTTATTGCTGATTACCTAAATATTGGTGGCTGTTTATGTCCTATACCTTATGTTCTTTCTATTGGGTTTAGTAAAATATAAATCCAAATTTAATCCAAGAGGAAATCTCTTTGGATAATAAACTCAGTAATCAGTTTTGAAACAACTACATCAAGCCTTGAAACATTGTGTGTGCTCTCCATCAGTTTTTGAAAGAAGTTTCTGTTTGTATTGTCCTTCGCAGTTTATGGTGAGCTTTTTCATCTTCTTATATGAAAATATTCAAGTCTTTTTTTTTAACATTTTTTATTGATTTATAATCATTTTACAATGTTGTGTCAAATTCCAGTGTTCAGCACAATTTTTCAGTCATACATGGACATATACACACTCATTGTCACATTTTTTTCTCTGTGAGCTACCATAACATTTTGTGTATATTTCCCTGTGCTATACAGTGTAATCTTGTTTATCTAG